CATGGCAACTGTCTGGCTGAGGTGAAGACGCATTTGGAAAGGAAACCAAAGGGGGAAAGTGCTGCTGAAGGTGGAAACAGGAGGTGACAGCTCAGGTGGGAGGACAGGGGCTTTATAAGAAGCAAGACAAGGTAACTGGCTGGAATGGACTGTGATTTTTCCTCCTGTAGATAACATGAGTGTCAGCACAGGGGTGATGTACCATTCACTGTCAGCAGAAGCCTTGTTTCAGTGGGTTCTTTAATGATAAACAGGAGAAACAGCTCCTGCCCTCAAGAATTTACCTGTCTCTTTGAAGAAAACACAAGTGTTGGAGTAAGAGGAAGGTTAATTAGAAGCTGAAAGTCCTGGTGAAAAGATCACTTGGTAGCAGAGACTGATGAGGTGCAGAAGGTGACTGCTTGTCATTTCTGGGAAACTGCTGCTCCAAAGTGTCCTTAAATCAGAGGTTTACAACCATGTGGGTTCATCTCACAGGATGGTGGTACACCAACAGATCCCTCCTTGCTCATCCAGAGGCACAAACACAGTTGTCCTTGGGTTTTGCCTATGTCCTTCCAACAGCTCTTCCAGCGTTCGGGCTGAGAACCTCTCTCTTGACCAATCTTGCCTCAGGCCCACTGATGGCAATGCACCTCTCTCCTGACTAATCCCAAGAGACAAAGGGCCACCTGCACACAGACACCCCCAGCACCAAGAATATTCCCTTGCACAGAGACTGCCCATGTGGATCATGATGTGGGATGGGCAGGTATTGCAAGGCTCAGAGAAATCCTGCAGCGACGTGAACCTTAGCTCTGGGCCGTGATACTCACCCTTGGTCATGCTCCCCTTTCCAACTCTCACATTTTAGGAATCCAGAAGCTCAGGGTTAGCTGTGGCAATCAGTAGAACATGGAAATTAAACTGCTTTCACCAGCACTAGCTCTGTTGCAGACTGCATCTTGGTCATCTGGAAAAGGAACAATCCAGTTATTCTTGCCCTGGGATGAAAATGTGAGTGAAGATGGGGTTTAAATGGAAAAGGTAGATCTTTCCCCAGGGTGAGCCATAGTCAGTTTGCTCTCCCGGATGCTGTGGGCATGCACTGATCAGGTATGCAACTGCAGTGAGACAGCCCTTGCCTAGCTAACCTGTACGGATGTTGCTTACCTGGTGCTTTCAATCTAATCTGAAACCAGACTCAGTGCTCTTTGGGGACAGGTCACTTATTGTGATAGTTTTTTGCATAAGAGCAGTGGTTAGGTGTTGGGTACTCTCCCATGTATAAAAAATGATAGCAAGCATAAGATACCAATGTAAGCAATGTGTACAGTTTGGGTATAACCTATTGCCACGGTATTGTTGCGTTTGCCTGTGCTGTGAAGCACAAAGCAGCTTCTCAGCTCTGGGAAGTGATCCCTGCACCCAGGATAATCACTAGTTACTCCTGCCTGGGCTCTACAGAGCTCCACAGGGCTGATCATGATCTGACCCTCTTTGTGGACTCAATAATAATAAAGCTACAAGAGGAAAAAAAAAAAAAAAGGGAAAGAGTGAACACAGTGAAAAGAGATCAATATGGTTTCCTGTACATTTTGTTCCAGACTGAGCATGTGTTAACTTGGAGCACTGCACTGGGTTAGCCCTGCTACATTACCTCAGAGATACTACCTCCTGTCCTGGGAACAGCACAGCCACACCAGTGTGGCAATGCAAGCAGAGGCATTAGAAAAATTCTTTGTAGACTTTACTGTCAGGCTAATTAATTACCCCATCACATAATATGGGCTGTCTCCATCTCCAGAGCCATCTAGGAAACCTTTTCATGGCACAAGCCAGTGCAAATAGAAATATCTAAGAATTTGAGAATGGCCGAGGCTCCATCTAGCCAGTTGCCCTCTTTCCACCCATGGCCACAAACAGATATGAGCAAAATAAGAACAAGACAAGTGTATATTATAGCTCTCCGTTGTACTTCCAGCATTCAACAATTTTCAGCTTAAGGAATTTCTTTTGATGCTGGTCCAGCCAGGTCTCTACATGAGAAAATGCAAATAAGAACAGGATTTCTCACTCAAGTCTGGCCTTTAATTGTAAAGTTTTCTCCTCTGTAAACAAGAATGATCCTTGAGGGAGGGGTGTTTCTGGGAGGAGACATACAGAACCGAGTGTAGAATTCCAATCCTAGTTTATCTCAGGTGGACAAAATTTGTTTCGATGGGAGCATTAAGTGTCCTGCAGCTTGATATAAACTGATGGACTCTTGCTTCTCTTGGCATTTGCTCTTGCAAATGCATCACTGTTACTTCCGCCTCCCTGCCCACCCCTCCACTTGGTTCCTTTTTAATTTTACAGCTTCCTGGGCTTGACACTGGGAAATCGATAAGTAATTTAGAGCCCAGTAAATACAGATGAAAACAAGTTATTTTGTATTTTTATAAATATTTGGAAACCAAAATTATCTAAGAAAACAGGTGCTCAGTTGACTCAGCAACCCATCCATCAGCATCACACAGTTAATTGCATAAGATCATAAACATTTATAATTAGAAGGCAAACAAACAAGAATTTTATAAACAGCCCTCTTGAATCAGGCTGCACATTAAATATTTGTGATAAGGTAATTAAGAATAGATTTACAATCCTGGCTCAGTGTTTAATACTTCAGAGAATGAATTTGAATCTGTAGAGAATGTTCTACAGCCAGAGAGAAAACATTCGATTTCAGCTCTTTTATCTGAGGCTTAAAGTGGTCTCTGAGAAACATTGGTTCTGTCATTGATCAGAATGGAATTTCATTCATTACAGATCAGATAGCTCATTTAAATATATGTCTAATGTCCCTTGTCATGGGCTGATCCGCTTCAGGCCTGCTTCAAAGCTCTGTATCCTTGGCTGGATCTGCAGGCTTTCCCTAAGTCCTGCTTTTTATAGTTGATCAGAAGATGTCAAAATTCTCAGCCATGTTTCAAAGTAGGGAGGTAAACCCACATTTTTCTATTATGACATCACAGTGCTTGGTTATGAAAAGCTGGCATCACTGCAGGATTACAGCTGTGCAATCTGAGTAGTCTGTGTGAACCAGAGGGGAGATCTCTCTCATTCCCTAGTGTCCAGTGCCATTCCCTGTCCCAAAAAAGCCATATCTGTATACTTAAACTACCCAATGTTACTACTCATGTAGCAAGTAAGCAAGATCAGCACCCCATTACAACAAATGTGAGAGTCCCCCTGAAGCTAATCTGTGATGAAATCAGCAGGGTTTCTAGTTATGCTTCAAACCAGAGAGGCTAGAAACTCCTCTCTACTGAAGCTACGTTTAAACTCTGCAAAATCAGATACAGACTGTAAGAAACCAGGTGGCTGCATCCCATCAGTGAGTGACAGGGAGATCAGCCCTAGGAGTAGGATGACTTTCAGATATTTTGGGGTTTGATATAGCACAGGTTTACTGCAGTAATTATCTGCCATCAGAAACCAGAAGAGTCTGGAAAAGGGAGGTGGAGGATAAAGCCATAGGATTTGACTCATCCGGGACAGCCGTAAACTACTTCAATCTGTGGTGACCATCATCACTTCACACATTGCTAGTCAAGGCAACCTCCTCATTTAGGCATGGTATTGCTTCTTATTTCTTGAGGGTCTTTTGTTCTTTGCTCTAGTATTTATATGCTTGCAACAGGCACAGAAGAGAATTGATCTTCCTAGAAAAGTTTCTCATAATCTTGACCTTGACCAAGAAGCCATTTTTATTAAGAACAAGGAAGCTGTCCATGTGCTAACTCATCCAGTCCTACCTGCTGGTCTGGCTTCAGTTACATAGGACACAAAGGCACTTTCCTAACAGACAGATTGCTGCAAAACAAGGAAACTCAGACCCCCCTCATTCTGCATAAATCCCACTCTCTAGCAAAGCTTATTAATTATATTACAGTGTGTCAGCTAAGCCAGTCCACGTGAGATATTGCCATTTCCTCCAGCCTCAGTGGAGAACACCACAGTGTTGCAGTCACTGCTGGACCTAGTGATTTCGGAGGGTCTAGCCAGAGTCTGGCAGCTTGAATAATAACCGAGCTTAATACTCAAGTACTGTCACTGTCTAAACAACTTCTAACACTATTTAATCCTTCAATCCTCTTGCAAGGGTGGAGAGGATGACAGAGATCGCCTGGGAGGTGAGCCAGCTGCTGGGTGGAAGGGCCCGAGCTCCCCGTTGTCTTTCAAATGCAGAGATCATTAAATGCCAGGTGTCCTACAGCCCAGGGCCATCCCCGGGACATCCCCGCTGGTACATGCAGTCGGGCAGCAGGACATACACATGACACGCGTACTCAGCGCCCACGTGGTGAAAGAAAGCTCATCCGACCTTTCTTCCAAGTGCGTTGTTTTCTCCCTTGGAAGGGAGCGATGATGTACAACGAGGTGCCTGCTCTGCAGATGAGCAAAACTTTGCCTAGGATGACAAACCATTTACAGGTATAGACAGACCTTTTCTTTTTGTTTGGTTGCTGCCTCTGACCTCCACGAGCGTGTCAACTCTGCTGCCTGTGTGTGTGTGGGGAGAGGCTCGGGCTGTGCACACACATGACGCCGGTGCAGTAGACGTCACCGGCACGTCAGATCCAGTGACACCCCCTCGGAACACACACCGTTAGCTGGGTGAATCATGCCTATGCAGCACGCAAAACCAGCCCGGCGATAGATAAACCTTGGGCATTTATTGGTAAACAGATAACCGTTTCACTGGGAGAGCATAACCCTGTGTTTATGATATGTTTATTGATTGCTGAGATAAAGCTGTAATCCTTTTAATTCAGGGGAGAAGGGATCCAGCAGAGCAGGAGCACCAGTGCTGTGCCAGTCGGTAATTAAAATACATGATTTATTATGGAATAAACACTAGCTGAGGGAGAGCTGAGCTAACTCGCTAGCTGGAGGCAGGATGCTGGGGCAGGTTTATGGCTTTTTCTAAAGTTTTGTTTCTGTTTTATGTTTGTTTCTTTCCCCCTTCCCTCCAGGTCTAATAATACACGAAGGGCCCTCAGTTTACCGGATTTTTAAACGGTGGCAGGCGGTCAATCAGCAGTGGAAAGTGCTGAACTATGACAAAACAAAGGACATGGAGGAACAAAAAACAGGGACCAGGACAAATCAGCGCCCCTCCTCCCAAACCACCCACTCGTCCTCCACTGGTGGTACAGCCACTAACTCCGCTCCAGCCGACAGCGGGGCACGGGCTGCCGGCCACGCCACCGGCACCCTCTCTGACCACCACTGTGCTTACACCATCCTGCATATACTCAGCCACCTGAGGCCTCACGAACAGAGGAGTCAGTCTAGTAGTAACAGAGAGCTCGTCATGAGGGTCACGACGGTCTGAGCCGAGGAATTCAGGAGGCCTTAACATGAAGCGGAGGAGACAAAGAACTCATAAAGCAGAGGAGGAGCATGGTGTGCCTTTTTCTTTCTCTTTCTTTTTTTTATTCTTTTTTTTTTTTTCCTTCTCTCCTTTTCTTTTTTGGTAACTGCACAAGATATAAGAGGCGGCACCTGGCCAGCTGAGGAAAAAAAGCAGGTGGAGGGAGAGCTGCACACTCATGCTAAAGAGGTTAATGTTTTCCAGCCAGTTTAAAAAAGAAAAAAAAAGAAAAAAAAAACAAACTAACAACACGAATCACAAAAAAAAAAGCAAACAACAAAACAAGTGCAATACAGACTACAAACTGAGTAGGCAGAGTTCTGGGGAAGCAGAGGAACAGACGGTTTAGCATGTCTTAAAATCCTATTACCTGGAATAGGTAACGCTCTGTACACCCCCCCCGTACACACATGCACGTGCACACAAACACACACAGTGTGAGATTTATAAAAACAAGGAATTGAACAAAATATTTGGAATATTTTTATTTTCCAGACTGCAATTAACCAGGGCTATGAGTTCTTTTGTTTCATGGCCTTGCTCGATTTACCATCCAATACCTAAAGTGAAATGGCTGGGGATTTTTCAGTGTTGATTTACAGAAAGGGAGATTGAATCATCCCACCATGGAAATCTAAGAAAACCCAGGCATATCCAAATTTCACTCCAGATCCTGTTTTTTTTTCATAATGTTCCTGACAAGGGGTTTGTGAGGGTGGAATTGGGAGGGGGGAGGGTGCTCCTTAACCTTTATTTGACATATAGGCATTTTTGGCAAATTTTGTACAAACGCCCCACAGATGTTTCAAGCACAAGTACTGGTGTGATTTATGCCTTCATAACCCCAAATCCAGCATCCAAATCTTGCCACTCACAAACATAATTTTCCATGCAGACATTCCAGGTTAGTTTCGTTCCATTTTACTCCAGTCACAAGAAGCTGACCCATCTTTTGCGGGTTTCTGCTCTCTTGCTGATTCAGATACTTATGCATCAGAGATGTACATCTTCATTTTTTTTCAGTGTCTGTATCCCTGCTGCTCAATTTGCAACCGTCTCACTCGGTCTTGTAGGCTGAGCCTTTTACATCCAGTCTTTTAGTTCATTACAAAGTCTATTCCATTCAATCATTCAAGAGAGAGTTAGTCTGAAGAGGGAGCACAGTTGCTGATCAAATATGTAACATTTCTATTAAGTCTCCTTCTCTGGGATATATCCTCGAAGGTACTGGTTGCTCTTCAGGAACATTCTCTTTCAATGCACAATGGCTGAATCATTTGTGGATATTAAAGGGACACTGTCAAGTACTTTTTAAATAGTTTTTAGGGTTTGGGATTTTTTTACTTTCCATTGTTTGTAATATTCTCTTACAAGCTTGAAAATAAAA